ACACCACATCACATGTTTAAAGTTGCATTGAAGGCATATGTTGTTTCTAAAAAGGATTTATGAAAGTGATATGTATATTAGCTACTGTAACACAAGTTTTAGACTATTTATTCATGTATAAATATTTCTATTATATACTTTTATAATATGTACCATACAGGACGTTTGAAGTACGTCCGACTAAAGGCTGTATTCAGTGGATTTTAGTTACTTATGTATAGCTCAGCATGTATTTCATTTTGTTTATTAAAACCTAAGTTACTTTCATTAACCAGAAATTTGGTTTATTTCAATTTATATTTTGTCAGTTATTTTTTTTAAATCGTGAAACTACTGCATATATATATATATATACATATGATTTAGAAATATTTTGAACTATGTAAATTACATTGTACTTTAAATAAATATATATATATATATATACACACATACATAAAAACATTTGTCAGTTAATGAGTTAGCATTTACAATAAATATACACTCCCAAAGCATAAAAGAAATTAATTACAGCATACAATTACTTGTAGTTTGTGATGATTCAACACTTGGTATAGTGTATTTCTTTCTGTATCTTCTTGATGACTGGGTGTTGGAAATTGTGCAGAGGTACACACTGTAAATATCTGATCAGCTGTGTTAGCAATATTTAGGAGAAATATTCTGTCCAAAGTATGAAAATTTGTCTCAATCTTTCATTATGGACTCAATGATGCTATTCTTGTCAACATCAGGTGTACATTTGATCAGGGTTACATTCAAGGATCTTCCTTCTGGCAAAACATCCTCTATATTAACTCCTTTATTTCCCTATTATGCAATCTCTAGTGCTCAGTTTTTAAGTATATCACTGTGCTGAACCATAACTGTCACTATGATTGCTTAGCCACAGTCAACACACATTAGACGTAAACATCAGAAGTTGCATAAACCAACACTTTGAAGGTGTAATCATTTGTATATGAAGAAAAGGTAAATCTTTGTGCAGCAATAAATTAATGTTTTTAGATCTTTACTTATGTACAACCAACTATTAGTCTTATGTTTAGATAAACTGAAAAGCAATGTTAGGTATTATGTATGGGCCAGATTCTTCACAATAGGTGCCGGCGAGTTGTTAGCAATAAATCTCAACAATAGATAAACAGCACACAGTACATTTGTTTTAAAATAATATAATAAAACAAGTCAAATGTATATACAAACTTTCATTACACTGTTGGTTATCACAGTTGTATTCAGAGCTTTAAATAATTGTCTCTCTTCCATCAAAGTCCATACAGGCAGGTTCAGTTACCTTAGAACACAATTTGACAAGAAGAATTATTCTTCTTGCTCTGTTATTCAATACATTCTGTAATAATTTCACTTTAAAATCACCACTATAACTGTTGGTTACCACAGTTGGATCCAGAGCTTTAAATAACTTACTTATTTATCAAAGTTGACAGAGGTTGGATGAGTTACCTAAGAACACAATTTGACACGACAAATTATTCTTTTCTACTCCGTTATTACAATACAAACTAGATTAACTATCTTTAACTACATTTTTAATGTGTATTCATACCCCAACAGAGGTCTAGAACATCCCACAAACTAGTAGATATTACGATGCAATAATACTTAATAAAAACAAGAAAAGTTAGAAGGTTCTAGTATCATAATGCAATAATACATGAAGTGCCAATTCACAACAAATGAACTACACGTTGTATGATTCATAAACAGTTAGGTAAAGAAACTTTTGATATACTATCACTTATAAAAATAACCAAATTTAACACTAGCACTAGATAAACTATCTCAATCATAAAACTCATCTTAAACTTAACCTGATACAGTTGTGTATATCTAACAAGTGATCTAGTTGATTTTCTTTAATGGTTAAATAAGTAGTTAGAATTTGTAGTTCATGGTACAGAAAAGTTTCCCAGGTTATGAAACAACAAAAAAGTAAGTCTGAGAAATATAAAAAATTATGCTTACTTTTTCCTGTTGATATTTGCAGTCTTAGCTGCACACAAATTATATATAAAAAAAATAAATTGTTCTACTGTTAACATATTACTTTTTGAAAACTGTTTACATTTTATTGCATCAGTACATTTTGTTTTACTGCCTTTCCAAAATGCTACATTATTTGCTTTTTGTTTTAAGCATGAACACAGTAATGTAAATATTGTGTAAGAATACAAAACTATAATAAATCATCTTTAAATACATTTCCACAGGAAGTTTGTTTTCTAGTTTTTTTCTAAAATATTAAATCTCTTTCTCAAAGTCAAACAGTTTAGGTTTTGTTTGGAATGCCACAATGTTTTTCATAAAATTACTATTAAGTACTTTAGATATTACATTAACTTTGTTAGGCATACATCTGTTACATGTTCCCATAGCCAATGATGCCAAAGCAACAGGTCATTCTTCAGAAATACTGGACTGTTCATCCACACAATTGTAATTTAAGTTTGTTGAATTCCAATTATAGCCTAAGAAAACAAAATAAACATACAATGTGTACACATATTCAAAATAGAAATGAATCAAAAAACAGTAAGTACAGGAAAGAATTGCACTGGTGTTTTCACCTAAGTTTTACATAATTTCAAAAAGTAAACATATATCAAGTGTAGATTCTCAAGTGGTATACACAGATTTTTTAACAAAATAAATAATACAGACCTGCAGTGGTTTTATTATCTTGAAATTTCTACACGTCCTACAGTAATTCCTGTACGCTGAATCCAAAAATGATATCCATTTTTCTCCGTCACGTACAGATTTTTCACAAAATGTCATAATGCAATACAAAAAAGAAAGACCACAAGACAAAGTTTTGAGACTAAAGGAGGTAGACTTCACAAAAGAAATCAGGATGAATGAGGATGCATTTTCGTTTGACATTAATGTTCTTCCCTTTCCTTCAGTTTGTTTGTACTTTAGTTAAAAAAGCATAATAATAATTGTGGTAAACGAAATAATAATTTGATCTAAGTAAGTTTTTTCTTCCTGATTTGTAAAAAATCTTTACGTGATAGAAAAAAAAAAGATAATATTTTCGAAATCCCCATAGCTGAATTATGGAAAATCCGTTATTAAAACCAAAACAATTTTTATGAAGTTTAATTTGCAGGCCTGTAAAATTTTTGCTCTTAAAGTTTAGTAACATCTTTCACAAACAAATATATAGCTCTCCAGATGTATCACTTAAACTCACCATTAAGGAAGTGTGAATAACAGATACAATATGACAATGACATGATGGTTTCCATGCCTTGGCTGTTACAAAACTTACTTGTTTGATCTTTGAGTACCATCTTTGGTGGAGATCTAAATTTCTTAGTTTTAGTGGTATAAAAAAAAAAAAAAAAA